AAATAGTAATAAAAATCATTCAACTGTACATTTTAAACAGGTGAACTTTATGGTACATAAATTATATCTCAATAAAGCTATTTAAAAAAAAAATTAAGTAGGGAATTCCCTGGCAGTCCGGGGGTTAGGACTCTGTGCTTCCACTGCAGGGGGCGTGGATTAGACCCCTGGTTGGGGAACTAAGATCCTGCAAGTGGCACAGTGCGGCCCCCAAAAAAGGTGACTGCTTGACTGCTGTCCTGGGCTCCACACTTACCACAAAACTATGGAAAGTAGAGCTCTTTTTAAACCCACAGATAAAAAAGACAAACCAATTGATAATCCCCCAGCTTAACATATCAAGCAACTATACTCACTGTTTCCAAAGATACTGCTAAAGTGACAATTATCAGAATATTCTTAGTAAGCTACTTTTTGAAGGAGGCCAAGAATAAATCCTTCCAGGAATTTGAATTAATGTATTTTAATTCTTTTGTATCTTGAAAATTAAAATATATCAAGATATAGACATATAATGTCCCTTCCCAGTATCCTATCCCTCCCATTTCTGAATATATGATCATGAACTGTAGAGGCAAATGTTAAAGTTTAGTAAGTGTGTGGTAACTATCTACCACAATTTACTCCTTAGATTTCTAGGTATTTCCTATCTAGATACTAGAACATTTTTATTAATTCAAGCTTTTACTACACCTATCACATACATGTTTCTGAACTACCAGCCTCACCTCACACAAAAAAGAAACCAGACTGAGAGAAAACATTTTTATCCAAAACACCACCAATAAGAGAAGATCAAGCAGTAAAGAATTCCAATAATTTTAGCAATTTATATAAAATAGAACACATTTATGCTAACTCATCTTTATTAGCATGACCATGTGGTTCATTTCTACCCAAAGCAACATATGAAGAACTTGTATAAATAAACAGGCTCTCTTTTGTAATGGAATGAGGGAGAAAATAAGGATGTGGTTATGAACACTACTCACTCAGAGAAGTGAGAAAGTAGCAACATTATATTTGCACTTTATGATCCTAAGCAAACACTTTCCCTCACCTCTTCCCAGTGTAACGCTTAAAAACTGGCCTATCCCTCTCACTACGTCTAAACCAGCATCAGAAAACAAACACGATCTGCCATAATGCTAAATGAGCCTTCCTTCCCTTCTAATAGCTGAATTTTTATAAGAAAATGGCAGAATTCAGCTGTTTTAACTGCTAATATTATCTTCTGTGAAAATCCTACTAAAATGAATTTGAATAAACTAGTACAGTCCTCCCCTAAACAAACTCTAGAGGCAAATGTCCCCCACCATCCTACATATTTCCTCCTATTACTTCTTTCAAGAATTATTTCCTGGGGACTTCCCTGGTGGCACAGTGGTTAAGAATCCACCTGCCAATGCAGGGGATACAGGTTTGGGCCCTAGTCCGGGAAGATCCCACATGCCACGGAGCAACTAAGCCCGTGCGCCACAACTACTGAGCCTGTACTCTAGAGCCCAAGAGCCACAACTACTGAGCCCGTGTGTAACGACTACTGAAGCCCGTAAACCTGGAGCCCGTGCTCCACAAGAGAAATCACTGCAATGAGAAGCCCGTGCACCACAACAAAGAGTAGCTCCCACTCGCCGCAACTAGAGAAAGCTCGCGTGCAGCAACAAAGACCCAACACAGCCAAAAATTAAAATTAATTAATTTTTAAAAAAAAGAATTATCTCTATGCTACTCAGTTTACTTTTTTGTTCTACATCTGCATACAATTCAAGTACTATTTACCTGCACAGTGCTTTGCAAAGGCCCATAATTTTGAAGTGTTTATGTTCCCTCAACAAAATTAGAAACTACTTAAGAAGAAAATCCACGTGTTCCAATTCTTTTTTTTTTAAAATTTACTTTATTTAAGTAATTTATTTTTGGCTGTGTTGGGTCTTCGTTACTGCATGCTGTCTTTTCTCTAGTAGCGGCAAGCGGGGCTACTCTTCGTTGCAGAGCATGGACTCTAGGCACGTTGCAGAGCATGGGCTCTAGGCGCATGGGCTTCAGTAGTTGTGGCACATAGGCTCAGTAGTTGTGGCCCACGGGCTCTAGAGCGCAGGCTCAGTAGTTGTGGCGCACGGGCTTAGTTGCTCCACAGCATGTGGGATCTTCCCGGACCAGGGATCAAACCCGTGTTCCCTGCACTGGCAGGTGGATTCTTCTTCTTTTTTTTTTTTCTTTAAAATAGATCTTTTTTGGAGTATAATTGTTTCACAATACTGTGCTAGCCTCTGTTGCACAACAAAGCGAATCAGCCACGTGCATACACACGTCCCCACATCCCCTCCCTCCTGAGCCTCCCTCCCACCCTCCCTATCCCACCCCTCTAGGTCATCTCAAAGCACCGTGCCGATCTCCTTGTGCAATGCTGCTGCTTCCCACCAGCCAACTATTTTACATTCGGTAGTGTATATATGTGGATGCTACTCTCACTTTGCCCCACCTTCATCTTCCCACCCCATGTCCTTAAGTCCATTTTCTATGTCTACGTCTTTATTCCTGCCCTGCAACTAGGTTCATCAGTACATTTTTTAAATATATATTCCATATGTATGTGTTAGCATACGGTATTTGTTTTTCTCTTTCTGACTTACTTCACTCTGTATGACAGACTCTTGGTCTATCCACTTCACTACAAATAACTCAATTTCGTTTCTTTTTATGGTTGAGTAATATTCCATTGTATATATATGCCACATCTTCTTTACCCATTCATCTGGCGGGCAGATTCTTTACCACTGTGCCACCAGGGAAGACCCCTCCAATTCTTTTACACAAAGTTAAGTACACACAGGCAGCCCCAATACTTAAACAGTCAATTTACCCTCTGGAGACATGAAAAAGTTCCAAAGATAATGTCCTCATTCACAAAATAATTCAGATGCATCCCCATCGGTTCACTCATTCGTTCATCACACTTTGAGACAGCACCAGCTGTGCAAACTCTCCAGTCACTAACCCTGCTCAAAAATGCCCATGACTCCTCATTGCCTACCAAACATTCAAAACACAATTTCTCATACATTCACTTTCCAGGTTCTCCCAAACATTCCTCATGCCTTTGCGTACACTTCTATCCCCTCAGCAGGAACGCTGTCTACACCACAGTCAGCACTCCCCCCAACCCCCATCTCTACATGTCAATTATTAGGTCTCTATAGTGTTTAGACACTATGAGAGGTCCCTGTATATAAAGACTTTCTAGTTTGAATATGTGAATAAAACTTTAGCCCCCATCAGTCACAACCACCATCACCTCAGTCTAGCAGGAAGATATTGGTTTGTACACAAGTCATTGTAATACTGTACAACACAGTAAGTACATGGTAAGCTAATAACCTACAGTAAGTAGGCCATACCTAAGGGATGTAAAAAAATCAACATATTGTGGATGCACCCTACCAGAAAATCTATTTGGGATGTACAGGGGTAGAAAAAAGTGAATCAAAGAAATTTAATTTTTTTTCAATGATGAAAATTAGTTTCGCCTACTGGATCGAGTTCTGAATGCAGGGCTTTGCTTTTTTTAGCAAAAAAATATACCTTTGTTTATATATATATATACAGCAGGTTCTTATTAGTTATCCAAAAAATACCTTCTTAATGAAATAAACTTGTAGGCATTTCAGGGCAATGAGAAAGAGGGCCAACTTGTGGCACCAGGGCTGTGAAGGGTGCAGAATGGTTGAGATGACAGAAGAACGCCTGGATACTCAGTTCTCCCAGTTTCAGGATCCTCAATCCCTATGCTGATTGGTTTTGGCTTCCTCGTAGCTGATGAGGTCCTTCCCTTTCCCATGTTTCTTGGTGCTTTCTCCCCCTTCCCATGTCTCCGTCATCCATTCCCAGTGTTTACTGGCTCCCCTCTCAGTGTTGATCTTAATGCCACCACATCTGCCCCTCTCCTCTAATGTCCCATGAAAGTGAGACGTATGATAGACAAAAAATTTCTAACTTCTGAATCCCTTCTCTAATCTAGTGCCTTCCCTGGACTAGAGGACAACCCTCTCCATACTTCACATGCCAAGAACAAACAAGTTTGTTTTTCATAAAATCAGGCATTTTTCACTCTAATTCTATTTATTTTTTTAATGAAAAAAACAAACTTTATTATGGGATAAAGAAAATCTTTTATCATTTTAAATAATAAAATTTAAAGCATTAAAAAAAATGCCCATAAAGAAATATTTTGGTTTGGGAAAGAACATAGTGTTCCTTAGTCCAAGACAAATTAGGTTGTTTTATTTTCTTTAATCTTATTGGAGTACAGTTGACTTACAACTATTTTTTTTTAAGAGTAGATAATACATGTATACTGTACAAAACTCTAGAGGCACAAGGGAGTATGAAGAGAAAAGTGAAGTGAGGTGAATGCCGTCCTCCTCCCCAGAGACAATCAGTATCATCTGTTTACCATTACTAAAACGAGACAGTTTTCCACAGAAACAGAGTAGCTCAGCCAAATTCTGCTTCAGGGCTTGTTTTTCTGTGGAGAAGAGGCGATCTATGAACCAGACATGTATGTGTAATGTGCCTATGTGAAAACACAACATGAGTTCTAAAGAACACAATCTTTCCAGAAGACTGTAGACACAACTTGGGATACAGTATGGTATTGTGAACAGAAAGGACATGGCTTCTGGCTCTTCAGAGAACTGTGTCCACGTACCAGCTCTGACATTAGGCATCTTGGGAAATGTTACTTAACCTGTGAACTTTAGCTTTCTTGTCCATAAAATAAGAATAGATTCTTGTGATGATTCAATTAAAACATGTTAAATGCTTTGATTTCTCCATGCCTTTACACTTGCTTTTAGCTTCCCTTGTGGAATGTTTTCATTTAACTGCATCTAGAATATTTTTTTATTTTAATGTATACCCAAATATCTAAAGAAAAAAATGAGTGAAAACCGCAAGATAAGAGGCTTCCATTTACAGAACCAAAGACTAACAGTTACCTTTTGTTCTTCTCTTTCTGTTGCATGGTGACACTTTTCAATTCTCCAATGCCTTAAGAAATCTCGGAGATATCCAAAGAGAGTAAGGACACCATACCCCACATAAGTAAGCACAGCAACCAGCATTGGCGTCTCTTCAAAACCTTCATTAAACGGTCTTTTATATAGTCCTCCATTTTGTGTAACATGATGTATCTAAAAGGGAGGTTAAAAATGTTTCTTTCAGTCATGGTAAGAAAAGGAGTGTTACTTAAAATCTGAGTCCTTACAGATCTGCATACCTTCAGAATTCTCTAAGTAATCGTCAACCCCCCCCCCCACCACTACCAAACATCTGCTAAGTTCTAAGCGGGGACTAATTTTTTTCTGTGGAAATAAGTTTTAAGTTATACATACTTCAGATGAACAGCAAAGAAAAGCAAGGGGAGAAGGACTGTGTAAGAACAACGCTTAACACTGATTTCTATCACTTGATTTTCTGCAAGAGATCCTAAAATGCTACGCTTAGGGAATGCATAATTTTCTTTGTCCTAATGAAGAAAATAAAAAATATAAGTCAACAAAGAGAAAGCCTATCCTGAAAATAGTATATTAGTTTACAAATAATCGAAAGTCAATTCAGTTTTAGAATAAAATAAAATATTTGTAAATGTTTTACTGCTAAATATTCTTAAAGCCACCGAGCCACAGCATTTCAAATAATTATTAGCACTAGGCATCTATGGAAACACAGAGTTTATACTAGCCTTTGTTGTCAGTGTAACACAAATAAATTATTCACAAAAATAAAATGCTTACATTAAGCGATCTAGCACCGTGTAACGCAGGAAGGAAGTGAAATCCAACACAAGGGGAAAAACTGTTGGAGCGATCACTAACAGCCCTGAAATCATTCTGTCCTCCTTCATCTCGACCAAGTGACCTTTTCCCAACATAAGATTATCCCTAGTTTCCTCTTTAGGGATATCCAAATTTTAACATACAAACACCAAGGTACTGTACTTTGATCTCATAGCTGAAAGCTGTTTACTCTTTGGTCAATTTTAATGGAAATGTTGTTTTACAGAAAAATTCCACTAAAGTAGTTTGTGTGTCAACTTTAATGTTAACTCTGAAACAACTGATTGCTGTGAGGATGGTCAATCACAATTTACCAGGAACATATTTTCTACTGAGCACTGTACTAGAGTTAAGAAGAATTCCAAAGGAATAAAAGATTCTTTCTTGGCCTCTCAGGCAACCTGATCGAAGAGCTAAATATTCATTTGGGAAAGCTACTAGAATGCTACAAGTTAGACCAGTTTGGAAACAAATTACTGTATTTGACAAAGGAAAGACATTTGGATCGGCATGATACATGAAAGCTGTTGGTAATGATTCAATTCGATGGCCTAAAGAACCTCTGAAAACTATTCATAAAACTGGCTTAGGTCTTCATCAATATCTTCCCCAGCGGTGGAACTCTGTGCTAACATTTGCTGCTTAAACTTTCATGCAGGAGCAAAGCTGTAATGTGTTTAGAACAGAACAGCTAAAAATGAACCAATATCTGAATATAGAAAATTGTTTAAAAATTAGTAATAACACGTAAGCAAGCAATTAACCTGGAAAAAGCAAAATCAAGAGCACTTAAAACACAAGAAAAATAACATTCTGATTATCTTGTTTTTTAATCAATTTATTTATTTTATTTATTTATTTTGGGCTGCATTGGGTCTTCCCTGCGGTGTGCAGCCTTCTCATCGCGGTGGCTTCTCTTGTTGCCGAGCGCAGGCTCTAAGCACGCGGGCTTCAGTAGCTGTGGCACGTAGGCTCAGTAGTTGTGGCTCACGGGCTCTAGAGTGCAGGCTCAGTAGTTGTGCCACGTGGGCTTAGCTGCTCTGTGGCATGTGGGATTTTCCCGGACCAGGGCTTGAACCCATGTCCCCTGCACTGGCAGGTGGATTCTTAACCACTGCGCCTCCAGGGAAGCCCCTGATTATCTTTTTAAAAAACTATATCTAAAAATACTTTGCCATAAGAACACACCAGTACCCAACTCATTGTAACTCTGAAATTGTTTACACTATTTTCTCTCAACTGAATATACTAGTAAAAAGTAAGGCAATTTTCAGAGCTCCTAAGTCTCTAACAAATGTGTGGCAGATTTATATGCCAGGAATGCTGTGGGTGGATCTCTTTAAAAGAGATCCACCTTTATTTCAGACACACCCAAACCAGCAAGACCAAGTATATTTATACAGTTGGTTGGACTGACTAGGAAGGAGAAAGTTAAATCATTAGTTTGCTTTTAAATATTGTGTGATTCTACCATAGCCTCACTTAATAAAATTAAATGCATTTTAAGGAACTGAGATTCAACTATGAAGTAACTTTTACAATGTGGCCTCAAAGCACAGTTCACTATGGTCATTCACAGAGTCAGAATGGACAGACCAACTGACATGCAAACTTCTGACAGGTGAAAAAGTCTTAGAGAAAACAAAACTACGTGACCTTCAAATGCAGATGCTAAATGCTATCTCTGACACGATTCAAACAAAAATAATGGTATTACCATCTTATACGTGTATAATATTCTACAAGGGAAAGCACCAGGCTTATTTTGTTCACTGCACAACTAGCACTCAGGATAGTATTTATTAAGTGCTAACAAATAATAAGTACTCGATAATGTTTCCTTTTGGGAATTCCATGGCAGTCCAGTGGTTAGAGTCTGAGATTTCACTGCCAAGGGCGTGGGTTTGGTCCCTGGTTGGGGAACTAAGATCCTGCAAGCTGCGTGGAGTGGCCAAAAAAAAAAACAAAAACAAAGGAAAAATAGTAACGTTTCCTTTAATTACTATTAGTATTACAGAAAGTGGCACCTTATAGGAGCTCAACAAGTATTTGTAAATGAAAATACACATTATGCTCTTTGCTCTGTCATAGAAGGGGTTAACTTATGATGATTATATAATTAATATTAGAACATTTCTAGAACCCATATCTGATACCTTCTAGTCTCAACTGGACTGGAGATCAAGTTCACTCTAAACAAACACAGGCTACAAACCCTTACAGAATATTTCATATTCCGGATTCACCATGCAAGAGGGCTCTTAAGAGGCCTTTCAGTCACTCTAACTTGAGAATTACACTGTCGACAAGGCAATCAAGAAAAATATTAGCATATCACTCCCTCCAGGTCAAAAAATTTCACATTAAGCAGACAAGAGTGTGACACTCTGTATTCTTATTCAAGAGAAGTTTAAGAACACCAATGAATACCAAGACACATTTGCCTGAACAGTAATATTTTTTCTAGAAAATGAAGAAGGAAAAAAAAAAGGCAAAGGAAGAAATTTTTTTAAAGTCGACTAAGCACACACCATAAAACATGACTTTTAGGAGGGCCATGGGCAGAATGTTAGAGGCTGAGTGTTTGTGTCTCTAACCCCATTCATATGTTAAAGCCCTAAAACCCCAGTGTGAAGGTATTTGAAGGTTGGGCCTTTGGGAGATAATTATGTTTAGGTGATGAGGGTGGGACCCTCTCCATGTGATTAGTGCTCTAATAAGAAGAGAAGGCAGAGATCTCCACTGAGGAAAGGCCATGTGAGCATACTATGAGAAAGTGGCTGTCTACAAGCCAGGAAGAGGGTCCTCGCAAAGAACTGAACCTGCCAGCACCTCTGATCTTGGACTTACCAGCCTCCAGAATCGTGAGAAATAAATATCTGTTGTTTAAGCCACCCCATCTATGGTATTTTGTTATAGCAGCCTGAACTAAGACAGAGGTAAAGAGACATAATGCACATAACCTACCCTCAACTGGTTCAGGAGAAAATAAGTGTGAGTGTGTGTGTGTGTGTGTGTGTGTGTGTGTGTGTGGAGAGAGAATGATGGAGAATTTCTTCATGAACCATTTGTGAGTCAGTTGCAGTTATACTGTACCTTTATCTTTTAATACTTCAGTGCATATTTCTAAAAACAAAGATATTCTTTTACATAACTATAGAACAATTATCAAAATCAGGAAATTGCTAGAATACTAATACGTACTTTATTTAGATTCCGCTAATCGTCCTAAGAGTGTCCTTTGCAGCAAAAGAAAGTCCTGGAAAATGTATTGTATTCTCTCTTTAGTTTCAGAAAAGAAAAAAAAGGGGGTTTTCATTACTCTGTAAAATGACTTAGAAGGAATAATCCTGAGCAGAGGTTTCGAGAATCCCATGAAAGGACACAAAGTAACTATGCAATTTTGGGGAAGTAATTATTGGAAAACAGAAGCTTACATTTCTGACATAGATACAAAATCACATAAGCATGATTTTTTAAAGCAAATAAACACATTCCCGCTTAATGTGACAGCAGGATGACAGAACCTGCCTATCACAACAGAACCTGCCCACCTGGTAGACAGCTTGGGACATTATTTAAAAAATTAATGTCCAATATGAACCACCCGTTATGCATGAGCAATCAAAGGACTGTTATGTCTTTTCCTTTAAATGAACCCTATTCATTTCCAGTGATACGCTGTGTTGTTCCTTAAAATAAGTTCTGCCGAAATGGTTCTTTATTGGAATTTTACTGAAAATATACTAGCCTCTCACTACTGCCTACCACACTTACTAGAGAAAATAGTTTGGAGCTTTATGCCCATCACACAAGCTGTGCCACACTCTGAACATATATTTCCAGAAGTGTCTTCATTTTCTTGGCAGGCAAATTTTGAAAAGTAGGGAGTCCACATTTTATCTTGCAATCAGGGTAAGTTCCCGAATTTCTGTTGGTAAGTAACTCATATGGAATGGACTAAGGAGAGCTTCCAAAGCCAGCTGTGAAACAAACCTATATTTTGACATTACCATATTCCTACTGAAAACTCAAAAATGCAGACCTCCAAGTATATATGCACTGCAGGATTTCAGTCAGTGTCATCCTTTGCACTCTGGGCAGTGATGTTCTGCACAGGAGTTATTGTTTTCACTTGCCACTCACAGCTCTGTAGCACTTCCCTATCTCTAGATAAGCATCAGGGTATGACAGACGGATGTAATAGGAGATTGGCGTACCAGTGCAGCTCTGCCACAAATTCCGCATCTTTTTCTGAGCTCTATTCCACATCTAACATGTTCGAGGCCTGTAACACCGTACCCTCCACTCTGGCTTTGTAATTGACATGAACTGGAAAGGCAACCCAGTTTGCA